GTCCTGTCATCTCTGTTCCACACAAGCACATGGATTTTAGGTAACTTCAGTCTCCTGCCCTCACTTCCCAGACTTCTTGGTGCTGCCTACACTCTTGGGTTCGCAATAACTAACACAAGTTGGTGAAATCCAAATTAAGTCTAACTTAATTCTATGATTACTTTTATATCACCTCCTATGTACATAGTTTATGGAGGTTTTAAGTTTGTTTTGCTCTGATGATACTAGATTGGAAGTTGTCTTGAATAGTCGCTGACCTGAAGAAAAGCAAGTATCAGGGTCAATGATTACCTCACCTTCACTGAGGTGAGTACTTGTGACAGTCCCTACATGAGTGCTCCTAAAACCCTGGTTTCCTAAGAAATAGGGTGGTGGGTACAACTTTGGTTCTCTTAGCTCCACTGTTGTTGCCTTGACACAAGGTGCCTCCTAACCCCACAGATCACATGCTTCCTAGGAAAGAGGAGCATTGTTTCTCCAGATGTTGTGACTTTTACGCAACTCCTGAAGAGGGAATAGCAACCATGCTTAGAAGCCTGGAGCCTTTGGCCTATCTCCATCATCGGGGAAGTGGAAAGGAAGGAAGAGGGGTTGGTGACAGTGACTAGTCAAGCCTATGTGATGAGGCCTCTAGACAATGCCTGTCATGTGGTGCCAGCAGGTTTTGAAACTGGTGAAGACATGGAGATACTTTGAGGCTGGTTCATCTCAAGAGGTCTGGGGCTCCACATCTGCCATGTGTGTCTCTCCCATAGATGACCCTGTGCTGTGTGTCCTTTATATAACACACTAGCAGTATGGAAAGTCCAGTAGAATCTGCAGGTAAACTGAGTACGCAGTACTCACGGTTGGCATGGAAGTGGGATAGTCTTTAGGATATGTGCTTATCCTATGGCATTCGATCTGACACTGGACCATCTGTGTCAGAATGGGGCAGAACAGGGTTGAGCTGAAAGACATCAGCTGGTATTGAAGAATTGCTCCGAGTGTGCTGGGTAGGGGAGGGAACCTATACAATGGCTGAATAAAAGCTCCATGTTTTTCTCAAAATGAATGGAAGTTTTCTTTGTACATAGTCCAAAGGAATCAGAACAAACCCACAAGAAAAGCCACATTGCTTGGTGACACCAATCTTCCAACCCTTATCATCTTCAGTAAGGTAAGGAAAGTAACTTAGTGGTAAATGCCAGGGATACAGTTCTAGCCCTGGGCAGGACTGAGCACATTATCTAGCTCAGTTCTCTTACCAAGGCTCAGAAAGGAACATGACTGGTCTTAGCTGGCTACTTTATTGCTGTCAAATCAAGAATTATAACTTCGTTCAGTGAGTCTTAATTTCACCCACCCACCTTCCTTTCTTTCTGGATAATTAGATATAAAGAGACAGGCTATGTTCGCTACTTCTGTTCCAGGAGAGGAAATGGAAATAGAAAAGACAATTTGGTAAATGTCACCATTATAGTATTAAAACTCAGCTCAAGCGAGGTAAGAGATGCTGAATTTCCCCCTGTGATGGGAGTACACTGCTTTGTTCTTTCCCATCTCAGAGAGCCAGGTGGGCACAGATCTGCGGGGGAGGCAGCATTAGCAACCACATCAGGGTGACTGAGCTGGTAGTGCTCAGTGGGGTCAGATCAGCTTTATTATCACTGTGTGAACTTATGCGAGTTATTTAAATCTTTTGTGTTTTAGTCCTTCATCCATAAAATGGGAATTCTTTGGCATTAGCATTGTGAATATTGTATAACTGACATTTGTAAGTGACTTGATTTGCCTTGTACATGGGTTTCTAAAGATATTTGTAGACAAATACAATACAGTGATGTCGTTTCCCATCTAAAACACAAGCCAGGATACAGAGACTTGACGACCAGGCATTTCTTTTCTGTTTTTCATAAGAACGTTATGAGAAGTGAGAAACTTCTGTTGCAAATTTGCTGTAAAATTATTCTGCACGATTCATTCTATTCTTAAGTGTGTAAACTTTAGCTGAGGGGAAATCAGACCATTAGATAGAATACACTATATATATATATTCACTTTTTATTATTCATCATCTCAGAGCTGGGCTTCTGGCTCAGTCAGTAGAGTGCTCACCTATCATGCATGTGTGCTGGCTGGAATCCCCAGCACTAGGAAACTAGGGGAGGTGGCCTACACCTGTAATCACAGCTCTCAGAAGGCGAAGACACGGAAGTCACAGCTCAAGGTCATTCATGGTTACACAGCTACTTCAAGGCCAGCCTGGGACAAAGTATCATTTCAAACACATTTCATTTGCGTGCCCAACAGTGGGTTTTATGGAACTCCCATCCCACTGGAATCAAAGTATTGCAAATGCAGCAAGTGAACGCTGTTGAGAGACACTGAGAGACACAACATTCAGTAGATGCAACTCCTGTTGGACTCTCAAGATCATATCTGAGCATGTCACTTCTGCTCATGAAGGTGAGAAGAAAATCACTCTTACATATAAACATTTGAAAGTATCAGATAAATATAGCCCTTATATGGCTTTATATGATTGATAAATTTTTGGAGGACTCTTCTGCAGGCTCTCTTTGGCAAAGATGTCAAAAGAGCAGCCTGCATGGCTGTCAGTGACTGAGTATCTCTGTTAGGGTTTTTATATCTTAGTGTCTACCTGTCTTTGTGGGACAGTCCAAAATGTCATCATCCCATGTAGTTTTTTTTCAGATTTTAAAGGAGATAAGCAGTAATTTTAATCTATTGAAAAGAGAATTCATGTGATGTGCTGACAGACTGTCTAGACAGATATGGTCACTCTTTGGGGTGAGTGCATGACTTCTTTTTTTCTTAATGTGGATAAAACACACTTTGATATGAGGATGTTAGTTTCCTGGGAGCTCAGTTATGTGGTTCCAAAATCACAATGGTATGCTCGCTAGCCTCCTTAAGAAGAATTGTTCCCAGTGAAACTTACTGCTTGGCTTGAGTGAACTCTGAAGTTCACTCAAGAAGTTATCAGATCTCCACTGAAGACCACAGTCTACAGACATGGGGCAGTTCTGTCTGAGAAGTATGAGAAATGCCTTCCCATTGGCCACTAAAGTTTCTGCCACGGTGTCTAACCATAACTGCAGCCTTCGTACACTGATTGTTGATGTTACTGTTCATTTCTGTACTTTCTAGTTGATGCATTCAGATTTTAGTAATTTCATAGCATGTATGGGTAGGTGCTGAGGTATTCATGTGGATGTGTTCATGTTGTGCACATGCAGGTGTGTGCTTTCCTGTGTTCATTTAGTGTCTTCGGCTATCACTCTTCACCTTGGCTATTGAGATAGCATCTCTCACTGAACCTGGACTTTGGCGATCAGCAAGTCTGGTTGACCAACAATCTCTAGGAATCATCTCTGGGGTTCAAGGTGAGAGCTGCTAAACCTGGATATGTATATTTAATGTGGGTGCTAGGGCTCCTCATGCAGGTATGGCAAACATTTTACCCACTGAACAATCTCCCTAGTTCTTTGTGATACATTTTATAAAGCCAAAGGGCTAAAAGAACAAAAGCCACAGTTAGGATGTGGTTGTCTAACTCAAGATGCAACCACCACAGAAGACCTGTTCTGATGGCCAGTGTGAAATCTAAGCCCTGTTTGAGGTCTGTGTCAGTGTCCATTGACTTTAAGTTCCTTCTCTTTTTTGTTTTGTTTTGTTTCATTTTTTTGAGACAGGGTTTCTCTGAAGCTTTGGAGCCTGTCCTGGAACTAGCTCTTATAGACCAGGCTGGCCTTGAACTCACAGAGATCCACTTGCCTCTGTCTTCTGAATGTTGGGATTAAAGACATGTGCCATCACCGCTCGGCCCTTGATTGCCTACTTGACTTCCCTCAAAACTGCACTGTGACTGCAAGCATAAGGAAAAATAAACCTCCTCTTCCCCAAGTTGCTTCAGGTCATGGCGTTTATCACAGCCACAGAAAAGAAACTAAAATACTGAGTAAACACTCTATCAATTTAGTTGCATCCCCACCTACAACCTATTAGCCCTAAGAAACCCTTTTCACTTCCCATCGCTGGGACGACATCACTAGCACAATCATAGTGCAATAGCTAGATCCCCATTGCTTAAATTATGAGGGTCTTAAAGACTTAAACATATAGACATTCTCTTCTAGGAATATTTCTCCTGTTTATGCAGAGTAGCTTGTCTTTGCAAATTTTCAGTATTATTTTATTTTAAGACATTAAATTTTATCATCACTGTAACAAGAAGAAATAAAATGTGGAATTGGGAGCAGAATTTCAGGGCTGCAATAGAATTCCCAAGGGTTCCCCATGTCCTTTGAAAGATTAAATACAATAATGAAAGATAACTGTGTAAAATGCCAGCTCCTCTCTCCTCCATCTCCTTTTTGTGTACTCAGTCAAGAGGTCTTGCTGCCAATCATATTCTAAGAAGGAAATAGTACTGGGGATTTTGATTCCACCTATGCTTTTATTAGGCCCCCCTTCCCAGTTTCTCTTATTCCATCATGAGTTTGATGCTAATTCTGTGGACTTAGACCTACTGAAATAGACACATTCTCTCTAATATCATAGTATAGATGGATTGTTGGTGGTTTAGAAAATACTGGACAGATAGAATTATGACTTTCAATGAATTATAGAGAATAGTAAGTTGGGGGAAAGAATATTCATTTACCAGTTAAATCTGAGGGTGTATATATATGTGCGAGATTTTAGAGTTGTTTTAAGACGTATCAAAAATCTTACTTGGTATGAATATTAGAGTTTGCTCAAAGCCTAATGACCTGAGCTTGATCCCAAGAAACCACTGACCAATGTAGTAGGAGAGAACGAGCTTCTGCAGTGACATGATGTGCGCACACACACACACACACACACACACACACACAATAAATAAATACAAATGTTTTCAATAATAATAATATATTTCTGATGAGTTTCATTTTGATGTTCCAACATAATCACAAGGAATTTTCACATACACACACACAGAGAGAGAGAGAGAGAGAGAGAGAGAGAGAGAGAGAGAGAGAGAGAGAGAGAGAGAACATAGAAAAAGATACTAGAATTCAACATATCTTTTCAAGTGGTAACAGTGACTTTTGTCAGAGATATTTAAACATAGGTCCACACTTCAAATGCAGATAACACGCAGATTATAGGCAAACTGTTCTTCCTGGGTTAGGGGTTCCTCATTCTGGGCTTCTCAACGTGACTTCTGAGGAAGTTTGCTCTTCAGCACAGCCAAGAGAAACAGATCACAATTACTGAACATCTTCTGGGGGTCCACATATATCGCCAGGTACTTAATGTTCCTGTCATTTCATCCTGACTGCATTGCTGTAGAGTAGAGCATCCTTATTTCTACTTCAAAACCATGGCAGGAACCCTTGAGTGCTGGCCTCTAATCCCACAGCCAGAGGCAATAGAGCCAACTCAATCCTCACCTTGCCGGATACCAGCTCTTATACAGGACCACTAACTTTGATGAGCAGGTAGCCTGAATCTCATTTCTATACCCCCTCCCTGGCTTCCTCTTTGGAAGCACAATCTTACAGCACTGCTTCCTTGAGGAGTCTCGCATAATGAATGCAATGCTGTTTTAATGTCTGCCTTTCAACCCTGTATCTTCAAGTAATGTTTTCTTTGATGAAAACTTAATCCAATTTCACAATTATTCAGACCCTATGTGCTACTAAAATATAATCCAAGAAAGTTTAAACAACCCTCTCGTACCCAATTCAAAGCTATATGCTCTACAAACTGCCAGAGAATCAGAGAGCATAACCCAGATGCCTCTCCAGAAGCTCCTGATGCATGCTGGAAATGCAAAATTTTTAGTTATTCTGGTTTAGTACCTAAATAAGGCAAGGCAAAGGGAACATAACCCTGCCTATTCCAGCCCCGGGGGACAATCCCAGGTCCTCTCCTGCCTCAACCTTGGCCCATCCCAGCTCAGGCTGCTCTCATCCAGAGGTTGAGGAAAATCTGCCCTATCTGCTCTATGGGAGCTTCCAGTCAAAGTGCACACAGTCTTCTTTGAACAGGGTCTGGCTCTTCCTACTGCACTCTCTTTATAAAAGACCCAAGAGGAGTGGCAACTTCCCCTTCAAGTTAGACATTCCTGAACTCGATCCAGACAACCCTGGGGGTCAGCTTGCAGCTCCATTCTCCTATGTGTAAATTCTACCTACCATTGGGTCATCCATCCTCTGTCCCCATCAAAGACTTCAGCAGACTAAGATGGGGACACACTGCCCATGCCTTCCGCACAAGTCACAGAAATCCAGTCCCTAAATAATCAGTGGTCTGGGATTCTCTTGTGGGCCTATTACCTTCCAAACATCTATAAAGCAACTACAGAAGATATACATCATTTCAATGAATCATCTCAACTTAGTTATTCCCTCCTACACTACTATTAATAGGCACTTACGTTATTCCTATTTAGTACAAATAACACATACTTCTATTTTTAGTTGTTTCTGTTTTGTTTGGTTGTTTGTTTGTTTTTTAGAGACACAGGCTCACTGTGTAGCCCTGACTTGCCTGGAACTCCCTTGTAGACCATGCTAGCTTGAACTCACAGAGATTTGCCTGCCTCCGCCTCCTGAGTGCTGGAATTAAAGGTGTGAACCACCATGCTCAGCCAGAATACACACCTCGTATACACAAAGACCTATGTACACATACACACACACACACACCAGACTTCTCCCTCACACTATCCCCCTCTAGTGTTCTGTCAGGAGACCATGTTTGAGGGCTGCTTTTGTTTTTCTTCTTTGGTCTAATGCTGTTCCACAAATGGATGTCATTTTAGAGGCCAGCAATTCTGCTTTGAATACACCTGTAGCAAAGCTCGGGCTTTTACAGCATTACCACATCTCCACTGAGCATACAAAGCCTCCCTGGTGTTCCAAGGTTTCGGCCTGCAATGTGAAATGCTGGGTCACATCCTGACCTTGAGCTATTTCCCCAGCTGGGATGTTTTTTCCACCACCCCTCAAAGCACTCAGCTATTTCTGAACTCTGGCTTCTTTGCAATCGCTTACCAGACAATAATTATACAGGACCTCTGTTTGTCCTAGAAATGGGAAGAGTCTCAGCTCTTCTGGAGGTGGAGAAGCACAAATGGCCCAGGCAGAAAAACACAGGAGGATCCCCATGATCCCTAAATATCCCACCTACAGTCCTGTGCTCTGCCATGGCAGAGCCTCAAATCTGAGGTCCTTGACATCTCCTGATTCAGCTTGATGCTAGTGATGGCAAAGTGGGGGCGGGGGACTAGTAGATGGTAGAGAGGGGGGTTCTATGTCTCAGGGTCTCCTTGTAGAAAGCAAAAGCCCACAAACAGAACTCCTAGGAACTCTGGGAGCAAAGAACACTATTAAAAGGAGCCAAATAAACAGCTTCTCCTGGATATGTCTTATAGATCAAGTTTGGTTTGATGATGTAAGACTTTACAATTAAAAAGATTAGGAGTCTAGTCTCTGGTAAGGGGCTTTCAGGTCCTGATTACATCTGTCACTAGTCACTGGCTCTAAGAAAGCAATCTCTAGGCTTAATCCTTCGTTTTTAAAATTAGGAAAACAGTTCCCCAACTGACTCCAGAAAGAATGGTTGTAGACACACTCAAAGACAGAATACCTCAGTGAGAGATTCTGCCCCAAAATGGAAAGCAATCAAAAGAAGAAATCCTAAGGTCAACCTGGGGACTTTGCATACATCTGCACATACATAAACATACACATGCACACATGCACACATGCACACACACATACACACATACCCCACACAAATGCACACACACATTGCATGCATGCACACAAATACACAAATATGGATACGTATAAATACACAAAAATATACATACACAAATGTAAATAAAATAGAAGTCTTCTCTTTACAAATTAGTATAGAATGGATTCTGCCATTCAATTCAATAGCAATGTCTACAACTTTTTTTTAATTCAATACATAGTTCTATCATTTTCTTGGCTGCCTTTCACAATCCAGATTTTATTATGTGCTTGTAGTTTCAAATTCATTTTTCAAGACCATCTAAAAATATATCTATTTTGCCCCACGTTTATGCTTTTATCTTTGTTTTAACTCAACACTCTGTTATTTTCCTTCCGTCTTTTAATTGGCTTCCTACTTTCTTAACAGTTAATTAATTCATTGCAAAATAGCAGGTATACTCTTTGATCATAGAACGATTTCCTACAAATATGACCCCCTGACTAGAAATCTACCCTGGCTTTGAAACCTTCTGCCATAGTCTTTGTAGTTCGCCTGACGGTTGGTACCTTTTCCCTGGTATCTAATCAGTATCCCCAAGCTTCGTCTCTCTCGCCAGTGCTGATTTGATCCCTATGAGTGTCCTGTATGTGGGCTCCAGTTAATACTAAAAGCAGGTGGTTTGCTTGTCTCTCTGCTTGATTGGTTGCCTAGCATAGAGAAAGAAAGGAAAGAGAAGAAGAAAGGAAGGGGTTTAATTACACAATTTGCTTTGACTGTGGTTCTCTCAGAAAATAATGTCATCCACTCCCAAGACTATCTTTTTTTTTCTCTGATTTCATAGCACAAGGAGATTCCAAGAAAAGGACACCAAGGAAAGCCTACTGCTCTAACACTGAGTGGACATAACTCCAGCCAATGTGATGATATGCATCACTTATTCCTGTGAGCAAATCCACCAACAGCTAACGGCAGCTCCTGCCTGGGGATGCTAAAGAGAATAAAATCATACACAACTCGGTGAAGCCAACATCTTTTCATTCAAATGGAAACTGCTGAGCTTGTGCCCATCAAACCAACAACGTCATGACACTGAACTAACTCTGAGCACCAGACTAAATGCAAAGAGCTTCAAAGAATTACGTTCTCTTGTGTAACTAGGACACACACACACACACACACACACACACACACACACACACACAAATAATCTCCGAGTGCATTTGAGGTTTTATTCTTGTTGTGCTTATAGACACTCCATCGGTGTGGGTTTTCTCAGTCCCCACAAAGAACTAAAGCAATGTGTCTCCCCTTCCAGGCCTTTGCCTTTAAAGCTCTGATTTATGGTCTGAGGGCCTGAAGACAGTGTTTTACATAGCCCAGTGCTTGTGGGCAGCCCGAGTCCCTGAAGGTGAGTGTATCATCTGAAAGGGTTTTAATGCAGCGAAGAAGGAAGGAGCACTACCTCCCGGTAATCACATGATCAGCACACCTAAATGGACAGCCTGGGTCTGCATATTTAAACCTGCAGCCAGAGACTGCATCTCTGTTTGCACAATGCTGTCCCGTGGCAGAATTACACAGCTCGCCATGGCTGCGGCCAGATAATTATTATTGATTCGCTCTCAAGCTGTCAATCTGGGGACAGCTCTGAGGCAGCTGGTGATGGACAGGGGGAGGATTGGACAGCCACCATCCAAGGAGGAAACTTCATCTCGAAAATGAACTTAGATGAGATGGTGCCGGTGGATAAGGGTAATTGATGATTGTTTCAGAGTGAAGGAAAGGAAGCAGGAAGGTTTTTAAAAAGGAAAACCTTCTTGGCATTCATCTTGCTGTCCTTAGCGGAGTGTCTAGGGGCTATCTGAAAACTCCATCAAGTTTCTGTGCAGTTTTACACAGTAAGGGTGTGATTGTTACTATACCACCATAAGTAGAAAAAAGGGGAGAAAAAAAACTTTTTCAAATAAAGAGTAATTTCAGCCTGGAGACACGGCTCTACCCATAAAATGCTTTCCATGGAAGAATGAGGACCAGGATCATATCCTCAGCACTACGGAGAGAGTCTTGAGTGTGTGGCACATGCCTGTGAGCCTGGCAGGGTGAAGGCAGACACAGCAGGAACTCAAGGGATGCCCTCGCCAGCCTAGCCTACTCAGTGGGCTCAGGTCTCAGTGAAAGTCCCTGTCTCAATAAACAAGGTGAGTGACACCTGTGGAAGAATGATCCCTGAGGCTGTACCCTTGTCTTCACATACGTAGTCACACAAATGAGCACACACACACACATACAAACACACACACACACCTCCAGAAAGATTTTTTGTTGTTGTTGTTAAATGTAGGCATTCTCTCATCTACCTTGAGGCTTGTCCATTTTTTAAATGCAGGCACATAAATTGTACTTGAAGATGCCCTTAAATGCGTATCTGTGAGACCATTTTAACTTTTCAGGGTACCTGCTGTAGTTATTTGATCCTTTGACAAACATCTGTTAAGCTCCTAATATTTGCAAGGCAATCTCCTCCTCTGAGCATGCGAGGTGAGCCATCAAGTGCCAGCTGACAACTTGATAGATGGGAGAATTGAAGAGTCGAGCAGTTAAGGGACTTGCCTAGGCTGGCCGATTTCATTAGAGGCTGAGCTAAGCCTGCATTTCTGCACACTCCCTGTGTCGTGGAGCCCTGTCCATCCTCTAAAACTTAGCTCCGTGTTTTGAATGACTATTCCGAATCAACTCTGTAAGAGACTCTGTGTAGGTCATCACATTTAAAATTTACAGCGGCAAAACGGTTCACATGAACACATTCTTGCAGACCCAGAAATGAGCCTGACGGAATTTCAGGACTCGTCTAAAGTGATTGTGATTGTGGGGGATCCCAGGCTCCCCAGTGTGGTGCTCAAACACAGACAAACATGCCTTGGTATCAGGGCTACTTTGCCAGCTCTCAGCACTGAGTTGAACCCACAATACAGCAAACCAGTGCTGCAGACGGCAAGTCTTTCTTGCCTGAGATGAGGACCGTACCTTCTAGGATGCCCTCCACCAAAGCCTCGAGACCTGCAAGCCAGGTGTGCTGACGTGTTTTCACCGTCAACTTGACACAATATAGAGTTGTCTGAAAGGAAGGAACCTCAACTGAAGAGTTTCCATCATCAGACTGACCCATAGGCATGGGGGGGAGATGGGCATTTCCTTGGCTGTTAATTGAGGCAGGAGGGTCCAGCCACTGTGGGCAGCACCACACCCAGACAAGTGTCCCCGGCTACACACGAAAGCTAACTAAACATGAACCAGTGAGTGATCCAGGAAGCGGTGTTCCCCCATAGTCCCTGCCTTGAGTTCCTTCTTGACTTCCCTCAAAGATGGACTGTGACTGCAAGTGTAACTGCAAGTGTAAGAAGAAATAAACCTTCTCCTCCCTAAGTTACTTTGGGTCATGGCATTTATCGCAGCAACAGAAAAGCTAACTGATATTACCAGTGAATAATCCCCCCATAAAAATGGAGGGTGCTACGGAATTATTTCTGGAATCTCCAGGTTATAGTTTCAGTTTCCAAGGATCTAGCTGTTTTCTCAAGTAAGCTAGCTATTTGAATAATCAGGAATTCAATATCATATAGTCACAGATCAACGATTATATTTATGAACATTGCTTTCTCCCATCCATTTTCCTATCTCATTTTTATTGGAATTAATAATTTTGTTACCAGTTACCTATGTTCATTCCAAAATTTAAAGTCAAGTTTATTTCTGTAATGTAGATGTATCCTGAGGTATTTATGTGTCTCATCATCTCTTTGTGGGCCTCAATATTACCTGTCAGTTCATTCATTAAAAAATAAATTACATAGCTAAAAATAAATGGAGGGTGCTAGAAAATTTACTTCCCCCAGTGCCCAATGGGGCAGCAGCCCCCGCCTAAGGTGAGGACAGCATGAGTTGGTCACACAGAAGGTGAACTCGGCCTTTGTAGCTCTGCTTGTACATTGCAGTTCTGGCTCTGTTTTCTGTTGCTAAGCTAAGGGAAGGCACCTAGAGAAATAGGAGTTGCACCAATATTTAATTTTTCTTGCAAATACCTGTTTCATTGTTTTAAATAAGAGCACATGGATTTGGAGTCTGTCAGAATGAGTTTTCAATGCTCTGTCCCCAACCCTACCATCCAGTCAATCTGGCCAAGGCTTAAAGCCTGCCTCGACTCATTTTTACCAGTAAACTTGGAATAATCTTTTCCTCCCAAGGCTTTTTTGGGGATCAGTCTCAAAGTGTAATTCTCCCTCATGTGAAGACTCCAAGATTTGCAGTTCCTTGTCTGTCTCAGGATCCAATGCGATCTTAGAGGACACACTGACCATTCTGCATCATGTTCCACAGAATTAACGCTGTCTCCTGAGGTGAGACTCCTTCAGTAGACCACCCTGAAAGCTCAGGTAAGCCGTTCCCCGAGGGTGGGAAGGGTGCTCTGATTCCCTTTAGGCACCATCTATGACGTAAGCTCAGAACTGCCAACCTTCCTCCTGTACCTCATTTCTGAGGAGTGCTCTGAGGAGGCCCTACCCCCTTCTCAGTGGGGAAGGGAAGGCTTTGGCATCCTGGGAAGGGCCCTCTCTGCACCTCAGTGGAAGCTACAGGTGTCCTCCCTCCCCTACAAAGGACATAAATCAAGCTTGTATCAAAGGCAGCGCTGGCCAAGAAGAAGGTCTGGGAGGGAAGGGGCCAAGCTGTGGAGAATACTTAAGTAGAATTGGCAGCAGGAAGCTTTGATGGCCCTAGCAACACACACTTGAGTGACAAGGCTGCAGTGTTGATTTTTCTTTTAATCTTCTCTCACATCTCACATGATAACATACTTCTCTGCTGGAAAATTCCATTTTTACCCATTTATGGAACTAAGACAAAGATATCACTTTGACTGAATGTTGAAATAAGTCTACTTTCCCCTACGATTACCGAAAAGGGGATANATATATACATATATATATATACATGACATCTCTTTTTGTGGTCCTGGTGTAGCCTCTTCCATGCTGTTGTTGCTAAGTGTTGTTGCTGTTTCCAGGTGCTAAACCTAACCTGGTAAACGTACCCATGTAGGTAGCATTCCCACCTTCGGGTTCCCATCTTGGTTCCTGCCCTGGCTTCCCTCAATAATGGACTGTGATAGAGACATGTAAGCCAAACAAACTCTTTCCTCCTAAAGGTACTTTTGGTTGTGGTATCTTTATCACAACAATAGAAAGCAAATTAGGACAGATAGATGATAGTTAGATGATAGCTGGATGATTATGACAGATATGTGAATTGTTTAATAGATATGCAGATAGTAGACAGATGAAGAGTAGATGGCTAGATAGATAGAGCTTATGCAGACCCCCTGACTAGCACAAACCCATCCCCCATCTCTGACGGCCCTCATGAAACTGACCATCCTGAATGTAATGAGCCTCCTTTCTACAAGAACCAAGCTAAAAAGCATGTGCATTTGTTAAGATCCCTTCTAGGTTGCTAACTGAAATATGATACAGAAGAGACAAGTGCTATTATACTAACTTGATCCTGAAACTCCTTGCTAAGAGCAAGTTTTAGAGGATTTATGTTTGCATAAAAAGCCAAAAGGACTATCAGCTATGTTTCCACAGACTCCAAGTCTCCTGTCTTTGTTTTATTTACCAGCTTCTAAATTTAGGTTCCAGGGCCTTCTGCTCTGCACTTGGGCTGCTGGTCCATGCTACATGGGTAGATAGCATGCAGTACCAGAATCATAGCTAAGAGCATATACGCACAAAAGACATTTTATATAATCGAAAATATATTTAAAACAAGGATATGACTTTTGTATGGGGCTATGTAAGATTTTATTTCCAAAAATAACTGCAAATAATATAATCATTCCTATTCATAATGTAAATCAGGGATTGCAGATGTTTTAAGTACTTATTATGCATTTGCCGTCTGGAATGATGGCTCAGTAATTAAGAGCACTTCCAAAGGAACCAAGTTCAGTTCTCAGCACCCATGTAGGACAGCACAACTACCTGTAACTTCAGCTCCAGGATATCCAGCACCCTCTCCTGTCCTCCAAATGTGCTACATGCACACATAGTGCATATACATTCACAGAGACATACACACACACAAAAGTAATACAATGAAATTTCCAATTTTTTTTAATTTTTACTCACTTAGCTTTGCACAAGAGTCCTAATTGTTGATTGGAGGTTGCTTGTTTGTTTCCCGGTCATCCAGCAGTTCAGACCTGAAATAATCACACAGAAACTATATTATTTAAGTCACTGCTTGGCCCATTAGCTCTAGCTTCTTATTGACTAACTCTTACATCTTAATTTAACCCATTTCCATTAATCTGTGCATCACCATGAGGTCGTGACCTACCTGCAAAGTTTTAGCAAATCTGTCTCCTGCAGAGGGTACGTGGCTTCTCCCATACTCTGCCCTTCTTTCTCCCAGCATTCAGTTTAGTTTTCCCTGCATAGCTCTGTTCCCCTATAGCTCTGCTGTAGGCCCAAAGCAGTTCTTTTATTAACCAATTATATTCACAGCATACAGAGGGAAATCCCACATCACCTGATTTGTATATATTTTGTTTACTTTTTTTGTTTTTTGTTTTGTTTTTTGAAACAGGGTTTTTCTGTGAAACAGTCCTGGCTGTCCTGGAACTTACTCTATAGACCAGGCTAGCCACAAACTCACAGAGATCCACCTGCTTCTTCCTCCTGAGTTCAGGAATTAAAGGTATGCACTCCCACCACCTAGCAGATTCTGAAATTTTTATGTATACATATAGGTAAACTCATTTTGAAGAAGTGAAAAAGGAGAAGATTGGAGATGAGAGTTAAGATGCCGCAGTTCAAAGGACTTGGGTCAGCCTTCAGATGCTCAACACTTCTCAGATGACATCCGCTCCTGAAGGAAAGTTCCCAGACAGATAATAAATGGTTTGTTCACATGACTTTCTTGTCAAAAGTCTGCTTATTAGAGACTGGAGCCATGTAGAATGTAACAAGGAAGAAATAGGATACACTAAGAGATAAGAGCAGAGGAAATGCGCTGTATATCCTGGCATGACATCCAGGTCTTTCTCTACAGATGTGAAACACTGGTTAAGGGAGGTAATCCTAAAGAATGGGGATGGCAGTTTTAGTCTTTCATCAGACTATAGACAGACTATAGACAGCCTTAATGAGCCGGCCTGTCTCATTATGTAGAATGCTGCAGTTATATATGAAACCCTAGTTAATAATATTTTTATTAACATCATGGGATGGGATTCCCCTCTGTATGCTGTGAATATGTTTTATTACCATTGTTTTGTTTTGTTTTGTTTAAAAAAAAAAAAAAAAAGCTACTTTGGCCTATGGCAGAGAAGAATAGAGCCAAGCAGGAAAACTAAATTGAATGCAGGGAGAAAAAGCATGGAGTCAAGCAGACACCATGTAGCTGCCAAAGGAGAAAGATACCAGACCCTTACACCACTACCTTGTGATGATACACAGATTGATAGAAATGGTTTAATTTAAGATATAAGAGCTAGTTAGGAATCCGCCTGAGCCACTGCCAAAACAATGTTGCAATTAATATAGTTTCTGTGTGATTATTCGGGTCAGGGAGGCCAGAAAACAAAAGCAAGGTCTCCATTTCCAGCATCGTCACCATTTGTTACACAAAATGTAACTATAAAGGCCGGATTGTCAGATTTTCTTTGTCAGTATCTTGTCTCATGGCTCTGACAAAACAACTTAAGGGAGGAAAGATTTGTTTTGGCTCCAATTCAAGGTGCAGCTCATAGTGGAGAAGACAGCAGCAGGTCACACTGCATCTGCCCTCAGGAAGCAGACGGACAAATGCTAGCACTCAACTCTTTCTCTTCTTCATTCATGAAATGCTGCCAGCCACACTTAAAGTGTTCCTGACTCAATTCATGTAACTATCAGCAATCTTCCTTCAGTCATGCCCAGGGATTTGTCTTCCACGTGATCCTAGATTCAGTCAAGTTCACAACCTTACACACTACCCACTACAATGTGTATATATGGAAGAACAGAAGCTAAAAATGAGTCAAGTGGAGGAACATTCTAGAAACATGGACATAGACAGCAGAACAAGTGGCAATAACACGTGGAAAATAACAGGAGAGGCAAAAAGGCAGTGAGAGAAAGATGTGAAAACCCATACACTTTATCCAGAGTCTCATTTAAGAGACTACAAGGATAAAATTCCCAGAGTTTCTCAAAATGATTTTATTAATGATAAAATAGAATTATTACTTAAAATAATAAACAATCTCTAGATTGAAATTGCATTCAAATTCTCTTGAAAAGTGTTCTATGGAGTAAGCACTAGGTGTTTTCCTTTCTTTAAAGAAGTGGTGAGTTTTTCCCCCCTTTCCTCACAAAGCGAAGAATTCAACCGGCCTATTTCCCCTGTCACTTTGGCTATTGCATATCAGAGAACCTAATTTTAGTCTGTTTGTAATAGACATCAAGGCCTTAGGGAGCCCTTACACTCTAGATACTTTTCTTGGATTGTGACCTTCTAGATTTATACCATTTTATCCTGAATTTCACGTTGATATTTTATGTATGGTTGTGTAAAAACCTTTTGTATATAAAGTAAATGTGGATTTTATCATTTGATAATGATCCATATGACAGAAGTTCTAGTAAAAGTAAATTAAAATGCAAAATGAGCTGTTTTTAAAGTCTGATGCATGTGCAGCCTGACCTTGGGAGGTTTCACTCCAAATGATGTATTAAGTTAAACCCAGGAACTAAAATGCTAAGCTACTTTAAGAAAATCCCTTCTATGGGACAAGTTATTCCATAGCTGTCAGGGAATGAAGCATTACTGAATGTTATTCTCTCACTAAATAAAGCCATATGTTTGACCCAGAATGATGAGCTTTCTTCTTTCTCCAGTGAGGAAATGGAAGCTTCAAGTACCAGTTAAGGATAGAAAGCCCAGGTCTCAGAGCCCATGCTTCAGAGCTCAGAGGCAGAAGGCTCAGAAAATATGCTAGTTGACTAATAGAACACAGGCTGCAGATGCTGAATGCCAATGCCATTATGTCTCGGTTTTTCTCCACGGAAGAGACCACCTTGCCACCTGTAATCTAGGACTCCACTCCAAGCCAAGCTTACTCCAGCACCATGATTCTGTGTCCCACAGCCCTTATCACATTATGACAGGCATTGGTCATCTATTTTGCTGTCTCTTGATGTTCTGGTTCCTCAAAGACCTATAGAATATGGCATTTAAAATGTTTTAAGAGCTTAGATTTTTCTTGACAGTGAGACATGACTGCTTCTCCCAGAATCAGTCTGCTTCAAGAGAATGATGGGCTTCAAAGAAGGTCCGTATGAAGTTTGCTAGCCGTTTGAGCAAGAAGCTACTCTTTCCTGGAGTGCTTGATGGTATGCTGTATGAACTAAACCTGCAGGACCCAAAGAAAAGTCACTTTCTGAAAGATGGGATGGTCTTTCAGGGTTCCTGCTTCACAAAGGGAACTGCCAGACATTCTGCAGGACACAGAAAAAAGCAACTGATAAACTTTGCCATTACAAGGAAGAACAGATCTTCAAATTTCCTGCTTCGTGGAAAAGTCTTCCAGATACTATGGGCCTGTAGACTGAAGATGGATGCCCTAATGTTACAAAAGAACTTTGGATAACTGTTCAGGCAGCAAGATATTTCTGTCAATTCTAAAACTTTGGAAGTTGTTTACAATGCACTTCCTGTTTACTTAGTTAATATTATATCCTTCTTGGGTCTTTGAAGAGTCGAAAACAGATAGTTATAGTTTTCCTTAGTTATGATAAAGGATAAATTAGATATATAAAACTTTAGACTCACAAAGATAAGGTAGATGATAGAGTATTTTTCTTGATTTGCCAAATGTAAATGAACTAAATATTGTAACTATAATTCTTGCTTGATAACTGTTTTGTTATATATAATTTTACTATGTTAAAGTTAGAAACCTTTTTTTTTATTTAGATAGAAAAGGGGAGATGAGGTGGGATATCCTTCTGTATGTAAGTTACTTTTATTGAATAATGAATAAACCTGTTTCAGCCAATAGCTTAGGAGGGAAATCTGAACAGAGATATAGAGAGAGAGTAGGTAGAGTCAGAGAGATGCCATGTAGTTACCAAAGGATGCAGACACCATGTATCAGCTCAGGAAGCAAGAGATAACAAACCATGAGCCTTGTGGTAAAATGTAAACTAGTAGAAATATAAGATGTAAGAGCTAACTAGAAAGATGCCTAAGCTATCGGTCAAACAGTGTTGTAATTAATACAGTTTCTGTGAGATTATTCAGGTCTGGGCAGCCTAGAATGAAAGAACAGTCTCTGTCAACAATGCACCCCAATTCCACTCACCTCCCTATCCCTCCATATCTGCCCCCTTACCACTGCAGCATCTCTCCCTGCAAAAGGAAAACCCCCAAAATTAATTAAAAACAAAACAAAGCAATCAAACAAAACACATCCCTCCTTCATTCTTCCCATCTTTCCAACACCTCTTCATTCATCCTAGTGGCACTGGAGTTGCAGTGTGCCACACAGTAGACCCCTCTGTAAAATCAGCCCTACCCCCAAATGTTCTTTGCAATGAGTTATTGGTCTGGTTCAAGGCCTCTGGCCTCTGACACATCAGTATTACTGGACCCTTACCAAAACTCCTATCAAACTCCCTGCTGTTACCCCAAGGCATAGAGATGCTGTGGCTATTTTTCCACAGGACCAATCCCTTCGCCCATTTCAGCAGGTCATAGATGGGATAGAAGTTATGGTGAGCTAACCCAAGGCCCAGAATGTAGATCTGGGTGGTAGCTGAGCTGGTTAGTCTGGACCGCTAGGACTACCCCACCTTAGGCAAGGTATGGAGCCAACTCTCCAATGCCAGTGGTGAGGGGTGGGGCCATCTCTCTGAGTGCCCAGCCAGCCTTCCTACGAGGGAGGTGGGACCAACTCTCTCGTTGCAGTGTCCAGCAAGGGGCATGGCCAGCTTATCCAAGAGCCATTAAAGCCTCAACATGGCCCTCAGATTTCAACATGCATGGTTTCTATGGAAACACAGCTACGGACATCAACACAGACCATTTCTTTAACATTGTCACCATGCTTGAGTAGCTTGAAAAGCAAGAAGGAAGGCTCAGAGTAATTTTAGGAAATTTCCTTTAAATCCTGAGTTCCTTCTGAGTAATCCTATGTTGTTTAACATCTATGCCAAGCTTTAGGCTTGCAAAGCAGTTTCTTCTCGCAAAACATAAAGGTGACAATAGGCCTCAAGGACTCAGTGCTCTCATTCCCATAGGTGAGAAGGCAAGCTGCCTGCTTAAAGACACATCAGTAATCTACACACACACACACACACACACACACACACACATATTTTGTGATGCCTGTTCCATTAAATCCACCACAAGTCAAAATAACTATTGCTAACCATGCATCAGCTGTCTCAGCCTTAACTTTTCCACATCTAAGAACCAAATATCACGTTCTGCCTCCTACCCAGCCCTGGTGCAGTCACCTGCCTGTGCTCTGCACTCTTGCTGATAAACCCAAGTTGGCAGCAGTCATTTATTTTACTTGTGTTTATTGAGTGCCTACTGTGTGCAAGGCATAATAATACATGACTATTAAGTGGTAAGAAGTTTTCATTAAATAACAATAGATTAGATATTGCTATTCTTATTTTTAAATCACAAAAGATATAATGGTCCATAGAGCGTTCAGAGCAAAGTAAATCATGGGGCAGCTGGCTCCAATGCCTTTTTTAAATAGGTAGGGTATAAATAATAAATAGAATAAAAGCTACACTGTGAAAATTTTATCAGAGGCAATAAGTACAAAGGAGTTAAAAGACTGGGCATAGATCCAGACCACCCAGTCTGTGTGACCTTAGGTGAATCTTCTCATTGTCATGGGCTTCCACGGAATGGCAGTCCCTTTGGGAGCAAGCCACAGCCAGCCTAGAGAGCAATATGCCATGGTATAAGCTGGAATTGATTTGGGAAGTCATTATGATAGGTAAATATTAAAACAATTGCTAACAGTGGAACAGTGTCTTACCAATAACAGATATCCAGGCTACATTGAAAATCAATGGGGAGTAAGGCACCAGAATCAGTCCCTTAGTTGTAACAAATATACTATGGCAATATAAGATGTCCACAGGGCAGGAGGGGAGCAAGATGCAGGGAACATGGGGACTCCCTATAAAATCTTTGGAACATTTCTGGATTGTAAAACCATTCTAAATGGTTTACTTAAGAAGAAAATAAATGGTAATCAGAACCTGCCTTCGTGAGGACCTTCTACCTTAAATGGGAGTGGTCCATTCTTCCTCAGCCATAAAAAATAGTTCGTAATAGGTTTAGGGCTATCTTTCTGCTGTGAAGCAATTTTCATTTTGAAAGGTAATTTCAAACTCTTTTAAACATCAGCAAGTGTGTTTATAACATTAATCAGCAAGCTGAAGTGGGCTACTTAGGTCTTTTATATGAATATCAAAAGAGAACAAATACTGTGAAAACTGAGCTGACCAATGCCTTCCTCTACCCACCTAGGCTCTCGAACACCCTTGGGCCAATGAAAGTCAAGTAGTTCCTGCCCAGGGATGCATCTCTCAATCCCTGAGGATGTTCACGTGCCTATCTTCAAAGGCTGGCCTCTGGAGACAAAGGGACTGAGAATAGCTTTGGTCTAACTTCACGTGGTTTTGCTACTATTTAGAAGCAGAGCAAACACACACACACACACACACACACACACACGCACTCACACACAGGATTCAGCAAGGAAAAGTCAATAGTGTTAATAAAAACATGGTGAGTGTTAAAGGCTGCGTGGATGAAAGGAAACTGTCCTACCAGCTTTCTTCGTTAGCATTAGGGAATCTGCATGCACCTATACAGCACTGAAGTTTGTGAATACAGACTTTGAGGCACGGACTTCTGAAACACGCCGCCTTTGGTCCACGCACTGCCTTTTGATATAGTCTATTAGCAGGAAACTCAAGCAGCCTTTATTAGGCTCCCAACAGCCTTAGCTCTCCGCTCACAAATAATTGATGCTCCCTTCTCACAAGCATAGTTTGCAACCGATAAGCACGTGGTAATTGGCATCTTCCCAGACGAGGAGGCGGAAGGAGGGGGGAGAGGGCCTTGCTTTGCCAGCAGGAAGCTGACAACAGAGGGCTAACTGGATAACCCGTGCTCCTACTAAGAGGAGGGCACTTCCTGACACATCGCCTACTTTGCATTTCCCATCATAAATACTAAGTTTAAAGACATGACAGTTTAGGGTGTTCCTGGGGTTTATCAAAGACAAGATGTCGATCTTATAATTTATTCTCAGATGCTTGCAAAATTTGATGTGATCTCTAGCAGCGCTTAAGCACTGGCAGCTCGGACGCTTTCCACACTCGTTGCAGAATAATTAATGACGCTGTCATACTAGATACACAAACACAAATTATTACTAAATTAGAATAGAATTCCTATAGTGTTATACACAATGCACTGTGGCCACAAATACAGTGTGAATAAGGAAGCTGACTTATGATTAATCTTTTAAAACTCTAACCTTTATTATTTGATGAACCACATTCAAAAGCTCTAACTTTGTCAAATTGGAAAGAAAATTAATGGCATCTTCAGGACAAAAGCTTGTCTGTATACCTTTGATGGTAGTACCGGGCATGAAATCTTTTTCAAATTTTCTGCTTCAAAATAAATCCAGGATCTCTTGGGAGGGTAAGAATAGTAAGAGCTACGCAAGAGCAGGTTCAGAAGCTGGGACACTGCAGAGCTAGTTGACTCCACACCAAAGCATAAGTCTAATCTATGTCAGCCTTGCCCTAGCAAAGCACAGCGGCTAGCCTGTGGACAGAGCAGAGAAGGACCACCAAGGCATCCCTTAACCTCCAAAAGGGGTTCCCGCTCAGATGCTGCCTTTAAAAGCTGTGGTGGCTGGGCCACAGGGACTTCAGCACAAAGGAAGGCAGGGCCACCAAATGTCCTGGGGCCACTGCACTCTCTGCCTTGCATTTGCAGTTTTAAAGAAGCCAAACCAGCTTGAAAAGATAAGAGAAATAAAAAAGTCACCATAGGAAGCACACAGCTACACACACAGATGCACACATACAGACATAATTAAAAACAAAAAAATTAAATGTTTATAAAATGTTTGTTGCATGTGGTATAGTAAACCTCATTGTTGTTACTAACAAACTCGAGAGAGTTCGGGCACATTTTTCTTTCTTGTCTATTATTTCATTTCATTCTCCTCCCCATGAATTAGAACACTCCACTCAAATTGCCTTTCCATCACTTTTAGATACAGACAGCTTGACCTTTAATTCAGAAAGCTATTATTTAAATGTAATTTAAATGTGGTCTATGGCCCATACTTAAATCGAAAACAAAGTACATTAAAATATGTTTAGGATTAAGTAATAAATTCTAAAATAGGTTTTCCACAAAACATAAAAATCCTGAAGTATGTGTTATATAGAGTTCAATTATTTTTAAAACAACCTAAGATAATAAAATATGCTTATTATTCTATTTTCACGTAGGTACAAGGTAAGATTCAAAATTATGATCTACTAAAAAGCATTATATTAAAAATAAAAACACATAGTCTAGTGGACTGTAATTACATAATGCGATTATATTGGGTATAACCTGTCCTTCAAGATGCAGTAGAAGTCTTGAAAACATACTGAGTTAATCTCTAGAAAAATCTCATATTATTTTACCTTCAATCTCCCACTTAAATTCCTAGAAAGCACAAAAATATGTCCACTTCCATTCCAGTCCTCATTGTGCAAGGTTACCACATGTCTTGTTCCTGTGCAGAAACGAGAGCAGCTTAGATCTTAGTATTCTCATCATGATAGTTAAGAGTAGGGAGATACCCTGAGAGATTTTTGAGATTGCTAGATAGCCACGGGGATACCCAGAGAAAGCTGGGTCATTCTACTGCAATCCTTTCCTTTCGATGATTCCAGAAACCGTGAACCAGGGTGACATTTAGATCAATAGGGGCTGGAGTTGTTTAGCAAGCAGGAGAGAGATGCATTGGGCAACAAGCTTCAGACTCTAAGAGTCATTGGGCAGCTGATCCACCAATGCCAGTGACTGGCAGTGCTCTATCCCACAGCTCCGGTGGAAAGAGCAGGCTCACCTAGCTCCTGTCTCCCTCACTCCCTGCAGCAAGTCCTGCTGGCCTCTGTCTTGCTGTCAGTCCCTGTGACCTTCTACTTGTCCATTTGCGAAGGCTCTGTGAATAAGCTGCCTGCTGCAGCACCAGGAACCACTGCCACAAAACCTTTGCCTTTGTTACCTACCAAAGGGAGGGCCAGCGGACCCGTGGACTCCTGCAGTACTTAGCTGTCTGCTTCAGCTTCTCTATAAAAGTTGCCAAGCAATGCCCTTCACACCTCCTCCTTACACTCATACCTCGTCTAGTTTCATTTCTGTTGCTGTGATAAAACCCCAACAAAAAGCAACTTAGGGAAAGAAAGGGTTTATTTGGCTTATGGTTGCACATTATAGTTCATCATTTGGGGAAAGACAAGGCAGGAACTCAAGCAGCTAGTCACATCACATCCGAGAGGAGAGAAAAACAAACGCACACTCATGCTTCCTGCTGGCTACTTGCTAGTTTCCTTAAATAATCCAGAGCCTGAGCCTGGCCTAGGGAATGGTGTCACCTACAATGGGATGAGTCAATTACCAATCAGGACAATCCCACAGACATTCCCACAGGCCTGTCAGATCTAAATAATTCCTGGATTGGGACTCTTCCCATGGGATCCTTGGTTGTAGCGAGCTGATGTTTAAGTACCCAGCTTGAGGCAATGAGATTGCTCAGGCCCCTTACAAATGTCTGCTCCTCCCAGAAGCACTCCATACCAAGATGGAGTTTGAGTTCCAACCCACGTAGGCTTTCTGACCAATTGTATCACCCCAAACTCCTCTGCTTGCTCATATAACACCAGCTCTCTCTCTCTAGAGGGAAGGCTCAGCACATCTTAGCTACATCCTAGAGCCCTCACGCTCAGAAAGCTCACTCCACAGTCCCAATGCATTGGGTCCCTAGTTCCTATTTGTTGGAGGGATTGGATGCTCAAGAAAGCAAGGAGGGTTCTAATCACCCGTTGATTCAGTGACGAAGATCAAATTTCTCTTAGCTTTTTTTTTAAGTCTCATGTGACACTTTGTTGTAAAACTGATGCAAAATAAAAGATTTATGAACACCAAAAGTTGAAAATTGCCAGCTACAGACAGGCTGCCCTGGAAGCCAGAACAAAGACTCACCGTCTTCTACTCCTGTGAGAGCCTTCCATCCTATAAATCGTTCTCAAACAACTATGTTCTAGGGGCCGGGCACTGTCGCAGATGCTCCACCGACAATCTCAATAAGCCGAAGAGGAAGATTTTGCTAGTTCCGTGAGTAGATGAGGAAGCTTCGGCGCCATGGCAAAGCCAGGCACCTCTCTTCTGCAGCATGCAGAGAATGTGACCTGCGCTCTGGTCTGATGACGCTCCTCCACCCCAACAAGACATTAGCTTCCAGTAGCTTTTTATTGTGGATTAATTATGCTTCTTTTTTTTTTCAGTTTTATATACACACTAAGAACTGCTTAGGGAAATTTTCCTACAAAAGCCAATTCTCTTCAAGGAAAAACTCAGAATTCAAGCTTCAGATCCTCTGCTCTTGACAATCGTGTCTGGCAAGTTCATGAATGAATCAGATTAGCACACGATTATGATAATTACCAAGGCTCACTTCTCAGAACGGGTATCATTTTTGTACTTAATTGTGGTTAAATGTCCTTGCGAATCTCCCGGCAGAGCCATGTCACCCCTTTAATTATCGGGATGGAGTCGCAAAGGGTGCAGCACTGTCCTCTATTAGATAAGAAGGAGGCGTGTCAGCTAGGATTAAGTCTGTAACAACACCCCATTCCCAAGACAAGTGCTCCAGTGCTCCCCAACAATGGCATCGCTGAATTTGTTTTCCAATTATATCTTGAATGAGCTCAATAGGTCTCAAGGCATGGTGGGAGAAGCGACTTTCGGGCAATTAGGCTTGGGTACTGCTTGGAGGTCCCACTCAGTCTTCAGGAGTGCCGTTCACAGAGAGGCGAGAGGAACTCATTGCTTCTTAGATTAAGAAACTAGATTTTTTTAAAAATGATTAATAGCCTTACTGTAGCAGAGAGACTACATGGAGCCGTGGTCCGAGGGAGGCAGACAAAACACATGCTAATAGTTGTAACATATATATGTGTACCTGAGCGCGTGTGTGTGTATGATGAATATTTATGTTCGTTCTCACTTCCAGTAAGCAACCCTCATTGAAAACCAGTGTAATTCTGTTGTAATTTATCTGATTACCTTTCATTAGTGATTATGGACATTGTAAGCACTTGACACATGTACCCACACAGATGCACACAAACACATAGTATATATGCATATGTTTGCGATCATTTTCTTTGTTTAGCATCTCTAAACGTCTATTTCTTTGTTGGACTGGAAAGGAGTACCTTGCTCTTAAGCGAGTTGAGAAGGCAGACAGATAGAAATGACTTATCGGCCCTCGGCAGGGAAAAATCTGCATTTTAGAAGTGCTCTGAAGGAAGCCTGTGTTCCCGCAGGACCCAAGAATCTTCCTCTTCACTCTGCTCGGTAATATAGTACTTCAGTACATGATTTTCCCAGATTAATTACACAAGGCTATTCAATAATCATGACTCATTATTCTACCAACTACATCCTATACCAGCAAGCCTGGAACTGACCAAGTCCATCAAATGCCATTTAAAGGAACTAACTTATCTATTGAGAGACACACAAGTGTGCACATACATGCACATAGACACCAACAGAGAGACACATATTCTCTCTCCCTCTCTGTCTCTCTCTCTCTCTCACACACACACACATACAAAGAGGGGGAGGAGGAGGGAGAGATAAGGGAGGGAGGGAGGGAGGAGTAGAGAAGGGAGGGAAAAAGATAGAAGGGGAAGAAGAGAGGGCGAGAGAATGCTTCTGATCACACAAGGATTTGATGGTTGAAGGCCCCTGTCTGTGGAGGGCACCTGCCTCTGAGGTGAGTGGCAAGGAGACTCTCCTAATCAGTTTAATCCAGTCCTGGGCATCAGCAATGACAGTGTTTATAGAACCCCGCCCATCAAAGGAGCAAGAGGCTTTCTTCTCACTTCCTCCCGAGTCTTCATCCATACCATTCCTCTGTCTCTCAAGTTACTCCTTTAAATGCGGGTTAGCCCTGGCTCCCAGCACATCCTTGTGGAAGTGCCCTGGCCCCTCTAGCCCCCCATTCAGCTCTCTTGCTCAGTGCTCTAAGGCTAACACAACTTTTAGCTGACACTTCCTCTCTCTTGCATACAACAGTCCAACTTAGTCAGAAGCTATGAAGAGCTACTGTGGTGTGGAGAACCATGCTGGAGGTGGCATGGAGAAGGAGAGATGGCGTTGTGAATACCTACTAGGTGCCATTCTACAAGCCCTCATTGATGCTTTGGTTAGACACCAATACCCTAGCAATGAAGAATTAGAAATTCATAGGCATTCAATAACTTATCAAAATGGGTTCAGTAAGAGAGAAGGGGAGTTGACATGTATCCGAAGGACCCAAGAGAGTTGAGGGAGTAAGTAGTCAGAATACACTATATGCAGATATGAAATTCTCAAATAACAGGAATTAATCAGCATAAAACATGAAATCATATTTGCTCAGGTAACAAATAACATCCAGAATTCAAGTACATGCCATCCCGTTCTGTATGCCCCATGCAATAAATTACGAGCAGTGGGACAGGGATGGTGTGGGACCAAGTTTTTCCTAAGTTTTACCCCATCTCACCTCCCTGTGCTCTCTTACAATTCTCATGCATGGTTCCCAGTGCCAGCAAAGCTTGCCTCCCTGCTTCTCCCTCCAGAAGGCTACTGTGACTCACAGTCGCCATCTAATAAAGAGGAAATCACAACTTAAAATGTATGGGAGGTCTGTGAGCATGTCACATGGATGAAGAAGTCATCCTAAAATATAGGATGCATGGGTCTCAACAGCTGGGAGGGGAAGTTTGTTGGAAAGACACCTAAAGAAAGGTGTTGGGGAAGAAAACAAAGAGCATCCTCACAGTTGGCAGCAGAAATTTGGCTTCATTGGGGAATGGAGTCTGTTAAAATTAACATCAAGAGAGAAATGAAAAAAGTGAGGAGGGTTCCAACCAATGGAGACACCAACTATCAAACTCAGCAGTCCAAAGCTTGTGAGTGAAAATTAAAGTTTCAAAATGTTGTTGAGGGGTCACATGTAGATTCCAACTTCAGAAAGTATTGCAGTATGAACATTTTTCACACTAGCCCAGGATGGAGTATAATAGATGTTTATTTATTAGGGGATAAACTCACAGAATTTTTTAGGAGTAAACTCACAGAAAGAATAGAGATCCACAGTCCTCTGTGAGGGGCACTGGAACTGAATCCAGCAGCCAAGGAGCCCAAGCATACTTTTTGTCTGCATATATAGTATATGAGATGACACCCAAAGTGGGTCATTATCTTAAAAGCTATTGGATAAAGGAGTTCTCACAGTAAGAAAGAGCGTTGAAGTAGAAAGCGTTGAAGTTATATGGGTGGGTGTGGTAGTTTGAATGCAATTGCTCCTATATTCTCAGGGAGTGGCACGATCAGGAGGTGTGGATTTGTCGGGGTAGGTATGGCCTTGTTGGAGGAAGTATGTCACTGTGGAGGCAGGATTTGAGCTCTCTTATATGTTCAAGCCACACCCAGTGTCTCAGTTCACTTCCTGTTGCCTGTGGATCACAATGTATTAACTCTCAGCTCCTCTTCCAGCACCATGTCTGCCTGCATGCCACCAAGTCACACCCTAATGATAATGGACTAAACCTCTGATACTGCAAACAAACTCCCCAGTTAAATGTTTTCCTTTATAAAAGTTGCTGTGGTCGTGGTGTCTCTTCACAGCAATAGAAACCCTAACTAAGACAGAGGAAAAGAGTGGAGTGGAAGAATAGGGGAAAGTATGAAGCCAGTGTGGTTCTCTAGGAATGGGGTTTCTGGCTGACTAAAGTTACAGGAAAATAAGCAGCAGAAGTGGACAGTGGGGAGGGGGTGGTTGACAAGAGCGACTCATGGCCTGGCTTATCCAGCTGTGTGGGAAGCACTCGGTACATTTTGCCCCGCTGATGAAAACATCCATCTGCCCAGTCCTCGTGGCCTCCCTGGCCTTTTGATGTGGCTCAGTCTTTTTCCAGATCCTTCTACCATTTTGAAGTCTTAAGCTTATATGCAGACTTTGTTTGTTTACAATCTGGTTGCCCTGGCAACAAGTTCAACCTCAGAAAGCCATGGATCATTATCTGTTTTATTCTTCAGAATCTCCAAAGGACCCTGATCCAGAGGAGATACATAATACATGTCTGTCATACAAATATAGAAATAGCGTCCTACTGGGGGTGTGAGGTCTTTGTTTTTCCTCATAGGGAGTAAGTGTAAGATAACTGCTTTTATAGTCCAGTATGACATTGTCTATACCCTGTCACCTCAGATGCTGTGGGCAGACCCTTCATTATCCACCCAACAGAGGCTGTGGTTTTTCCTCCATCTGCGTCTGCCTTGCAAGGAGAGGAGACCCATTCCACCGGGGGCAGCAGGAACCAGAGGACTTATAGCATCATAGTTTTTGTGTGCAGGCCGTGGCTCCCACCACGTAAGTGCCTGATCAATTGTTGGGATAATTCTTTATTCATGAGACATGTACTTCTCAAGACTATCGGGTACAAATCCCCATTTTGGAACAAATCGTTTCTAGCACCTGCCCCTGAAATGAAATTAATGGATAATAGAACTTTCCCACACAAACATTTTTTAAATCACTGTAATACCCTAGCTTTAATATAAAAAAATAAAAAAGAAATCAAAGGAAAGTAAGCTATAATAAAAAGCAGTCTACAGTTCACTGTCTGAGAGCCCTGGGATGATCACATCAGGAAATCCTCCAAGGTAGTTAGATGCTTTCTTGGTACCAACACAGACTGATGTAGATGTGTTTTTTAAAGACCGTAACACTACGAGCCATCACCGCAATTGTTGAAATAGGGACGGCGGCAGGGCTGCGTCCCCGGCACCCGGCCGCCCGCATGGCTAGCTTATGCCCAGAAATAATTACACGGAAACTGTATTCTTTCAAACACTGCCTGGCCCGGATAGTTCCAGTTCCTTATGGCTAGCTCTTACATATTGTTCTAACCCATTTCTAATATTCTGTGTAGCCCACGAGCTGGCTTACCAGGGAGGATCTTAACCTGCGTCTGTCTGGAGCGGGAGAACCATGGCGACTCCTCACACAGCTTCTTTTTCCCAGCATTCTCCTCTGTCTACTCCGCCTACCTAATTTTCTATCCAATAAAATGGGCCAAGGCAGTTTCTTTATTAATAAGAAATCACTCCCACATCATTTCCCCTTTTTCTGTTTAAACAAAAAAGAAAGGCTTTAACTTTAACATAGTAAAATTACATATAACAAAACAGTTATCAAGTAAGAATTACAGTTACAATATTTATATCTATTTTATCTCTTATCATAACTAAGGAAAACTATAACTAACCATTCTTCAACTCCATCAAAGACTCCAGAAGGATATAATATTACCTATCAAACAAGAAATAAGAAAACTCTAGAAATGACAGAGACATCTCGCTGCCTGGACAGTCACCCAAAGTTCCTCTGTACCGTTGGGGCATCCATCTTCGGCCTACAGGCCCATAGTATCCAGCAGACATTCTCATCAAGCAAGAAATTCCAAAGACAGTTCAGTCACTTTTTGCTGTGTCCTGCAGAATGTCTCACAGACTCTTTCATGAAGCAGGAACCCCAAAAGGTCATCTCACCTTTAGGCAAGTTCAGCAGTCCTCTCTCTGCGGGTTCTCTGTGTCCAGTTTATGCAACAGTCCAGGCAAGAGCAGTTTCTTGCCCAAATGGCTATCAAACTCCATAAGGATTCTCTTCGATGCCCATCTTCCTCTTGAAATAGATTGGTGCTGCCAGGAGCAAATGTGTCTCATTGTCATGAAAAACCCTAAGTTATTAAAATATCTTAAATGCCATATTCTGCAGCCTTTGAAAGATATGAAGAATGCCTATCTAACTAAAATATCTCTCTATATATCTAGAAAATCTAACTAACATGACTACAAGCTTAAGTATTAGCGATGATTATCCATTAACAACCTATATTTCCTAATTATACATTACATTTTTAAATGAACTACACAATCACAATACCTTAATCAAGATCAAAAATACATATACATATAACAAAATTGACCATAAAATCCATACCAATGCAAATTATTCATATCTATATCATATCCCCCTTTAAATGTAAAAGAACATTTATAAACAATATTTGGGAACATGGGCGTAGTTTTTTCTCTACAAACTGCTTCCTGCTGAATAGGGGCGTCGTTAATTAGGTTGTTCATGATATAACCTGTATGCTAGTTTCATCTCAGTTGGCAATTGAGCGAAGCAATTTTTTGAGGGTATTCACAGCAACCTTTCAGGAGGGCGTGGTCTATCATACCAAATCGGAATAGATGCAATCCACAGGGTCTCATCCTCTGCAAAAACAAAAGAAGACCCTCTCCAAAGCATCATATCCTTAGACCCAAATTCTGAAATCATAATACCCTTATATCCATTTTGGTTTAGATTGGCAGCCCATGTAATGAAATGTCTCTCTGTACTTAGCTCCTTCACAGTCAAAAATTTTAAAGAAAACACAATGTACATAATCCAGACTCTCTGTGAATTTTCCATTTTTACGTGGCTTATATTTCTTTATTTCTTTTAATCTATAACTCTCTGTACTTCTGTACTCTGTCTCTTTAAAGACTTTACCCTTTTTCTTTTTAAGACATTAACTTTATTCTTTATATTCTTTTTCTTCTCTTTCCCAAGCCTACGTACATTTATCCAACAGTGTCTGAATCTGTTTTATTGTGAATCTGTAATTTCTTTACTATACAGGAGCATTTCTTAAAATGTTAAGCATTTCTTAAAAACTTAAGTTGCACCATTTACAGGTAATACGGTACTGCCTGTGTCCTGCCCAGTCTAAACCTTAACTGCACGGTTTTAAGGTAATTACGGTAGTTCCTGCCTGAGATCAGCACAGTTCAGCATGGAGCAGCCGCTCCTGCCTCAGAGTCATTTGGTGCCCCTGAACCATTCACAGTTTCAGGCACACAGCAAGTCCACATTGGAGCCGCACTCAGCAGTTTAACTCTGAGACTGAGTGTGCAGCACAGAAACTCTTTTCATCCAAGTTACAGCCAAATCTGACATGCAGAGCACTGCGCAGTCTGAAAATGCGTCTCTGTATAGCGGCAGGAATCCGCCATGCTCTTCCGCCTGCCTAAGCCTGATTCTGCCGTCTGCCCAGGTGCAGGCGGGAAGCGCTGAGCCATCGGCACAGTCTCAGAGCACTCTCCTCCGATCCCAAGCGGGAACACAAACATCCAGTCCCATAAAAGCCTTGAAATGCTTTAAAGCCAGAGTTCACGCTGGCAGCACAGCCCCAGGAAGCAGCGCTTTAAAATGACGCGGCTTTTTTTTTTTTTTTTTTTTTTTTTGCTGTTGCTGAATCAGGAATCTCTCTACAGAACGCCACCAACAAAACAGCAAAAATCTGTGTTAAACTCTCTCTCCCTTATTTTTAAGCCTTCTCAGGTTTTTAAGTGGATTTAGCCATCACGTCTGGGCGCCATCTGTTGAAATAGGAGCGGCAGCAGGGCTGCGTCCCCGGCACCCGGCCGCCCGCATGGCTAGCTTATGCCCAGAAATAATTACACGGAAACTGTATTCTTTCAAACACTGCCTGGCCCGGATAGTTCCAGTTCCTTATGGCTAGCTCTTACATATTGTTCTAACCCATTTCTAATATTCTGTGTAGCCCACGAGCTGGCTTACCAGGGAGGATCTTAACCTGCGTCTGTCTGGAGCGGGAGAACCATGGCGACTCCTCACACAGCTTCTTTTTCCCAGCATTCTCCTCTGTCTACTCCGCCTACCTAATTTTCTATCCAATAAAATGGGCCAAGGCAGTTTCTTTATTAATAAGAAATCACTCCCACATCACGCAATGTGACTTTCCAAACTGATGAATCCCTTGTAAGATCTAATAATGGGACCGGTGATGACTTGCAGCAGGTAAGAGCACTGGCTGCTCTTACTCATTCAGATTTGGTTCCCAGCACCCTCATGACAGCTCTCAACCATCTGTAATTCCAGGTCCAAGGGTCCTGATCCCCTCTTCCAGCTTCCATGGGTACAACATGTACACGGTACACCCATACACATAAAAGATAAATAAACACAATGTGGAACAAAGATCCAACAAAAATTTCCTATGAAGAAAGGAGCCAAACATAATTTCATAGTGCCCGATGTTTGAAATCATAGAAAACCAACCTATTAATTTTAAATACTTAAAAGTGACATAGAAACTAAGACTGTTGGGAAAGAAGTCTCCCTGTTTCTGGCAGGCATGAAGCTGACCTTTTAGACGTTGGCGGAATTACATGAGCATACCTAGCCTGCCTGGCCTACAGCAAGGGCAGTTCTATTCCTTTGTTATTAATATGTATATTAAGTCATATTTTAAACTCATTCTCATGATAATGTGATTCAGCTTAAAAGGTTATAACCCTGAGACCAACCAGTCTCAATGCTTGCTTCAAAATCATGTTTTGTAGCCCTTTCAACCCCTGAAAACAAAATTCTTGGATAATATAGTCGGCTACATATATTGCCCCAAGTCAGTAATACAAGGGTGAAATAAAATAAGCTATAGCAAAGTTGTATATGTGTGTGTATGTGCATATATGCATGTACACCATTACTAGCATATATTATTATCAACATCAATATCCCACTCGGTCCACTTAATGCTGGCTGGGAACTCTTGAATGGATATAGCAGCATCCATTGGGTCCTAGACAATCACACTAACCACCACATCCCCAAAGGAAGGTAACTCTCCCTCCCCACTGCAGCCATCAGCTGTCAGTGTCTCCCTTTTGTGAGAACGTCCCCTGTCTGACTATCTAGACTTTGTGCAGGTTCTGTGCCTGCAGCCACATCGGCTGGGAGAGAATGTGTGATGTCCTTACTCTGACCCAGTTCACTAGGTGGGACTTCTGAACTCAATCATGTTGTGGGCTGTCAGGAAGTCTTCAAAGTGTCAAAGCAAAATAAAGATCGCGTCTCTAACCCAGGACAAGGGGAGGGAAATTTGCAGAGGTGTCCCATGGTACCATCGGGCATTGCCAAAGAGAGGGAGATAAAAAGTAATAGCCTAATTTTCATTAAGTGATTGCTCTCATAAAGCAGAAGAACTTTACTCACCAGGACATTAACCCTGCATTGCTCAGACAATTAAAGGAAGTCATAAATTAATCCATAATCACAATCCTAAAAGAATTTATCCCGGTTCAGAGGATGAGAAAGAAGGGGAATTATCTCAAAGAGGGGGTTTCTATTCTGCAAGCCAGGCCAGACCCTCCAAGCCGTGTGGTTGTTGTCCTCCTCCTATTCTCCACATCATTTCACCTTATCTCTTCCCTTCCTTCTCTTCTTCCCTTCACTTGAACAGTCCCCACCCCAAACTCCCAACTTCAAGATCTAGAAATGGAAATGGGAAATGTTGTTCACTCTTAAAGAATATTGAATTTCTCTGATACAAAATTCCATTCAAAAAAAAAAAAACAAAAGAAAATGTTCCTTTGTACCAAAGACTACCCTTTAGGGCTGAATAAAAATGAAACCTAGATAATGAAAATAATACAGTGGTTAAGGGACTGTGGGGTGTTATCTTATTAATTCTATTTTTTATTGATGTTAATGAGAATATTTGAGCAATGGATGTATATAGGAAGAGATAACACAAGGAGCAAAAAAGCAGAAGTGGGGGCAGATGTGTCATCTACAACACTCAAGACACAGGAAATGCCTTTTATACAATCCTAGTCAGGACTCTATGCTGCAGGGGACATTGTTGGCCCATTTTAGAGATGCTGGAAGTGTGTATAAAATCTCATTTTTCTTGTAAAGCTAAGATTTAGTTTCAGCTCTAGCTGTCTCTAGAGATCAAACTGATTTTGGAGTGAGACATGATCATGGAGAAGCAGACAAATGATGTATACAAGAGAACCGAGAAACACATTGAAGCTTCTGCTACCCCATAGCCCTCTAGTAAGTGATGTTGTCAAAAATAGGACGATTTGTGGTACTTTCTTAGCAGATGGTTCTTCCCTCTCCCAATTTTGGAGGGGACACAAATGGGAAGCTAAGAATCAGAGCACGGGAGTACGGACACTTGACTAGTCATCACAGATATGATTCTCCTCTAACGTTTTATCTGTCAGTCCATCTGTATACAGTGCCTGGAAAGACAGATAACACAGCTCAAAGACCTGTTGTAGTATTTAAGATTCAAAAGCCTAGGTCTAAGGGAATAATGAGAATTTTTGTGATCCTAAAGAGAAAAATGGGCAGTATATTAAGGAGCAAAGTTCTGTTTTCTACAGAGAATTCTGCTCAGCTGAAGAAGTGGGGAAGGCAGAGGACCAGATGAGAGAGAGAATTCAGGGACCCCATGAGTAAGGTAGCAGCATTGGCTTCAACATCCATATCCTCAGGGCTTCACTACAACAATATTTAAAGACTCCTGCGTATGAACTGCAAAGAACACATGATTCAGAGGAAAGGCAAGCAGAAGTAACAGGCCAATCGTATGTATTACTCCTCACTACTGGCTTCCCTTTGGGCCTCTATAAAATAAGAACCAAAGTACCCACAAAATGCCCATGACTCAAACAAAATAAATGAAATTCATATTGAATGTGCTGTTTGCTGCGTGTCTTTAGCCAACCTGAAACAACCACTTAGAAATGAATGAAGGATGCATTCACAAAGAGGGCAAAGTGACTCTCTGGGTTTTCTAACTTCCTGTGACTCCTCAGGCCACACAACACAACACAGCCCTGCAAAGCTTCAGAGCCCCTTTGCCTAGCTGGGTGTTAGATTTCTGCACCACCAATACCCTTGACTTCCCTGTGCCCGAACTGAGCTGCACTGTGTCCATCTGTAAATAGCGAGCACAGGGTAGTAATATATCACTTTGCCTTTTGACAAATATCAAACTTTAAAAAAAAATCCGAAGGGAAACCTGGGCGATGGGTGATGGTATATGCTTTATTTGTGTTTTGAGTCTAATAAAGTGCTCCCCAGTAATACTTTAACAGACACACCACGACTTACAGATGCTTCTGTTACCCACCGCATCTAGGACACATAAAAATATCACACACCACCACAGATGGTACCATGAGGACAACACAGTGCTACTGTACCTCAAAGACCAATAATTTATTCTGAAAGTCTGTATTTCTGCTACAACAAATGCACGGTTATTCATTGTGGAATTTCCAAACAACAAAATATTGGCAAAAACTGATGTGCAACAATTGGTTGAATAAAATGTTTTTCCTTCATAATAAAGTCCAGTTGGCCACCATATACAAAACAAAGCAACAACAACAAAACAGAAAATATTCGTATCTGTCAATCATCTGTCTATACCTATTATTATTGCTGTTGTTGTTACAGAAAGATTTATTTAAAGAGATAAGAATGGTACTTACATACATCAGTGGGACTATAATAATGGTGTGGAGCAAGAACCCTCAGAGGTCTACCGAGTTTTGTGGGACTTTGTATTAGCTTTGATTCTTCAAAAAGCTGGAAGAAGTTGAAAAAAATTGCAGAATTTTCCCCAGCTTTAAGGAGATGGAAACAGACATGATAAAATGAGGGTCTATGTTTCCCAGTGTGTTATAGAATGTAACATCTCCACAGGTCTGATCCACATAGCTCCAAGTTTCATTCACGTATGTAGAGCTAATTGGTCTATTTATATACCAGGCACATATAACAAGATGTTAGCAGTCAGGACCTCTTGACAGCTGCATTATTTTCAGAAGAATAACCTCTATTCTCAATCTTCTCTTCAGCAAAAGGTTGGTGGCATCATGAGTCCTTTGCATTTTCTTTTCTATAAGTGTTCGTATAATTTGCCAATTTTTATTTTTAATGACTGGTTAGTTGTTTAAGCAAAACACAACAGATTTACATGTTATAAGAAATTATTTCCTTTGTGATAAAATTGAAGATATTTCTCTCCAGTTTTCTTTCCATGCTCATGAAATTTTTCCAAGAGTTTTTAAGATTTCTTTTTGTTTGTATGCATGTGTGCAATTCTGCACATGGGTGTGCCATATAAATGGAGGCACCGGCAGGGGCCAGAAGAGGGCTTTGGATCCACCACAGCCGGAGTCATAGGAGTTTGTGAGATAGTCAACTAGGAATCAAGCTTGAGTCTGCCATACACTCAATACAAGCTCTTAACTCCTGGACCATCACTCCAGGCTCCAGATAGAATTAATTACAAAGTTTTTGTTCTTGTTATAATTACGTTAACAAAAGTAAAGATGGGTCCATGTCTTCCTATAATATAGTTATGATCATAAATATAATTAAATATTTAAATCATCTGAAATTGATGTATGCTTAAGTGAAGTAAGGATAAAATACATATTTTTCTCCATATCTTATTGTTTCAACCTCATTATTGAATCATTTAGTTTTCTCTATTACTAAATTCCTGTGTATATCCAGATCAATTTCCTATACATTATGTCCTTTTATTCTTAAAGCATCTTGTAAGATGGGTATTGTTCCTGATGAGGCTCCACGGGGTCAGAGAAAGTGTGTGTGTCGGAGCTAGGAAAGCAGAAGGGCAGTAGGATATGGTTTTGGAGACGAAGAAAATTTAGGGCTGTGGCAAATGCATTTATATTAGATAAAAGCTTCGTAAATTAATAAACGTCATTGTATTTATTATGGCTCTTGCCAAAGGAAATAAATGCAGTAAATGCCTTGTTAAAAAAAATACCATGTTATCGGTTGAATTATTAGTGAGCAGCGACCCTAATTAACAAGGTAATAACTTGCCAACTTGCTGACAGGGCAGTTTTTCAAAACTCATCTGTGCCAGGTAAGCCTCCTACGGGG